CAGCTTTTGGGGAGAACGGATCAGTAGAAACACTATGTTTCTCTTGAATTCCCAATGAAGTGGTGTGTTCCTACTCAGGATGGCTAGAGAAAGATTAATAATGCACACACCTCTGTTGCTGTCATGTTATTTGCACAAGACCAACTTCCCCCCGCAACCAGCAGTAAGTGTAAGACGGTAGCCTAATGTTTGCAATGTTACTTGAGAACAAGTAATAGGAAAGACAGCACCCAGCTGAAACCACTGTATTCTTTCTATTCGCATTCCGTTAAAAAAAAAAGCAGTTATAATTTTGCTATAGCTGACTCAGCCTGGATTTGAATCCAGGACCTAAAGGCAAATTAAATTTCACCATCCACGTTAAGAAAGCAATTCAGCTTCTGAACTGGATCAGCTTTGATGCCACACTAAAGAGTTTAGTTGAAATGCAGTATGATGAAAGAGTCCTGTTCAGCAGCAGATATAATTATCACACCGATCTTAATTAGATCATGAACTTGACTTTAGGATCCCCAAAGGAGTATTGAAAGCTTGGTCCAGTTACACTGAACTTGGTCCAGAACACTGAAGCTTATCCATCAAGATAAATACATTACTAGTTCTTTGATATGACAGATGCTTGATGAGTGACAGAGCAAAGGCCTTTTTAACTATGATTTGAAAAAAAAATTATTAAACTGCACTAAAGTGTATGCTGTTATCTTTGAGGGGAAAAAAGTATAATACATGAAAACCAATTATTACAGAGCACATAGAGCACAATTTTTCAAGCACTGGTTTCAGAATTAAAAACATTTGAACAAAGGTTCTCTCTGTGGAGTCACTTTGTAACCAATTCAAGCCTTTAAATAGGTATTGTTTAAAAAAATTGTCAGCTACAGAAATTGTTTTTCCTTCAGACTCCAAATCCTGTCAAGCCAGGTTGATTAAAATGTTGCATTAAAAAAAAAAAAGGCAATCTAATGATCCCTTATAAAAAGTGAAAACAGCAACTCAATTTTTAAGGCATCATGAACAAACGGCTATAGCCCATCTATCATTCACATATGGATTCATGTAATGATTCTTCAATTAGAATTATTATCTATACAGCAGCTGAAGACTGAGAACTGCTGATACACTGCAGATGAGAACATTTGCTCGTCTCTGGGCTCCAGCCTTTCTTAAAAAATGATGATCGCACAATATAGATTGCTCGGTTTATATGTGTATTAAGCTGCAATGCCAGCATTTACATTTGCAACATTACAATTTTGCTTTCTTAGGCTCAAGAGAATTTGCCGCATCTGGTAGATTTTACTTTATTTGCTTTGCATCTTAGGCAATCGTTACGAACCAAGTGTGAATAGGCAATATTATTGCTCAAACAGTCCTTTGTTTTGTTCATGATCTCAGATACTACAAGAGAAGTAAACTAAGGGTGGGCCTGCAAGACGCGTCGGTCATTCAGTGTGAGTTTGCTTGCACTACATTATCCCAGTGCTATTTTTATAAGGCAAGTCCATCTGCTTCTTCATTTCTTTCACCTATATAGATCCAGATAGCATAAGACGTAGTATCAGAGAGAAAGAAAAGCATCTCCCGGAACAGTTACAGGCACCATAAGGGAGGAAAGTCACTTTGGCAGTTCAGACTGCAGCAATTTGAGAGGTGCCATGCACCCTGCCCTGCTGCCAAAGGTTACTGTCTTCAGTAAGCAAGTATCCATAGCATATATGTTCTGCAGAAGCAAATGGGAAATGTGCTAGCCCTACTGCCACTGCTTCTCATACCTGCAATGCTCAAACACACCTCAGTTTCAGTATCTGTTAATACACTGTATGAACTGCAGTAGCTGCCAAGCAGACAGATCCCTTTGCTACCTCTGCTACGGGGCAGTAACATTTGGCAGAGCAGCAGACTAGGTAGCAAGAATGGTAACTTCCTGAACTTCTCTTTCTGAATCCTCAGCTCTTCTGGAATATTTCAAGTGCCTGCCCATTCCTGTTTCACAGCTGGTAGCCACATGCTGTGACCTAGAAGATGACAGAGATAGGTAGCTACATAAATAGTAGCTGTGAGATAGCCTTACTAAACGGGCATCTGTTCTTGGTATTTCTACGAGGATTCTTGCTGTATGAATCCCAAGTATGTTCCAAAGCCCAGGCAGCCTTCCTAGATGTCTCACTAGTAATGTGGATGCTGGAGACAGCAAGTTGGCTCTTGCAGATTTTTGTGGTATGGGGAAGCTTCTAGTGATATGCGCCTATGTAGAGCTTAGGAAAAGGGCTGCACAGTTAGTTAAGAAGCTTCTTACTTCACTGTACAATCTTAGAAAGATCTTCATAGAAGGCAAATATTGTTAATATATTTGTTTTACTCTGCATAGCTTGACAAACCTATACCCACGCTATTACCATCTTTCACAGTACTACTTTTAGTGGGCGAGACCTGCCATAGCCATGAAATCTCCCCATATCTGCTATACAAAGGAAATGAAAACTCTGCTCATGGGCATATGTTCCAATATTATTTCTCTGCTTTATTATAGATAGTAGTGAATAGAGAATAAGTGATTTATACTCTTCCCTGAAAAATACTTTTTATCTACTGAATCTCCTAAATAACCAATTATTCTCCATTGACCTGAAAGTATATTGCTATTCCAATTACTTAAAATTTCATTATACTTATAATGACATTATATAATGCTTCCGTCTCTAAAAATTTAACATTAAGTGAAGACATTTAAGGGGACAAAGCAAGCAAACAAAACTGAAAACTGCTTACCAAAGTAACATAACACAAATATTTAGTTCAAGAGTTTATACACATGATGGGGCACATTTCTCAAAATATTTTAAATTTCCTAACTTCAGGTGCCATCACTAAGATTTGCAAAGAGATGTAATGACACACAAATTAAAAATGTGTTGGGTTTTTTTTTTCCAATTAAAGCCATCATCTTAAAGGTTTACAAGGTCAAAATCAGAACAAACCACTGAATTCTTTCCCTGGATACTTGTTTATAGAGATTTGTTGGAATTTTGAGCTTTGATTTCAAATGGGAAACATTTTGAAGATGGAAAAAACATTACCTGAGAAAGCAGTTCAATCTATAGTAGAAGTGAGTGAATTATATGCAGCAGACGATTTATTATGAGAACGTAAAAGGCAGAGGTTTCTTCCTCTCAGAGAAGGCAACTGCTGTTTTCTTTATTCAGTTTCAGGATATTATTCATCAAATGCTTATTTTAGCTGCTACCATACACCTCCCTAAACTCTTGTAACAATAGTTCTAACGTTTGCGCTATGTCACTAGTCATCTAAATCAATAATTTATACTCCTTCAGGCACAGAACAGCAATATGGAAAACCAGGAGGAAAGGTATCACTAAGGCCTCGTGGTTTTCACTGGCTGCTCCAATATACTGAATACTGAGGCACTGAGCTGCAGAGTTTTGGCTCCCAAGCTTGTGGAAATGCTGAACTGACTGGAAAACTGAGGTATAGCATGCTCTCAATAAAGAAAAGGGTTAAAAAAAAAGGAAAAAAAAAAAAGGAGAGAAATTTACATCTCCTTATAGCCACAAGGACTCAGTGGTCAAGTTATATTACGTTTCTCCTAGGACGTGTTTGTACAGCAAATAACAACTGGACTGTAGTCCGGGGAGCCATACCTTCACCAGCTTTAATCAATCTAACATGTAACTCTAGCAATAACAATGTAGAAGCAGCAGTTCAATTTAAGCTTAAGATGGACCTCACTAAGTGACAGCACCTTCATGATGATAATAGCATACTATTAACTTACGCATATTAACATCACCTCTTGCATTAATTCGTTTGAACACGCTGGCTAGACAATCCTTTCAAAAGCACCACTATTTTGATTAAGCAATTTACAGAGGGCTCTGAAGGATACATGTCTCAGATCCCACCAAAGTAGCTAGAATATTTCCTGACGTTTAGAACTCATTAATTGTGGTGTCCCAAGTACATTACAGACGGACAAAGAGCTTAATGTTCAAAGATATTTCATTTTGAACAGTAAATGACATAAAAACTACATACAATGTAGTAATTGCATTTAAGAATAATTAACTAGAAGTTTTGCAACCTACAGCACTGTCACTCCGGTGATATGGAACCTTTGTTTCAGGACAGACTCTGAATCTGTTGTTTGCTTAATGAATTCAAATCTGCAACTGCACACAGCCACAGAAGCAACAGTGCCAATGGCAAGAGACACTTCGGAAATGGAAGTCTATAAATTTTATAAAAAATGGACTAAAAATGCCAAAATACCCTCAGGTCTCACTGGCTCTTGAAACTGCCGCATTAATCCCACAAGGCATTCCTCCTTTTCAGTGGGTCTCTGCCCTGATCACCCTACCAAAAAGAAGAAACGGAAAACAGAAAAAAAAAAAAAGAAAAAAGAAAACAAAAAAGATGACTGTACCTCTCCACTCCACAAGCCCTTGCTTTCATTACTAAAATTCCTTTGGGCTGCTGAACTATGCATGTTTCCAAGAGCTGAGTGCTGACAGGATATCAGGTATTCTAGGTTTTTCTTTGCCACTGAGGGCTGCTTTGTTCTAGCCAGTTCTTGAGAGGTGAGAACACCTGAAAACACTACTCCTCCAACTCTATCATTTCCTCATGCAGTTTTAATATTGTATTTAGTAAGGGCTATCCCAACACTTACATAAATCTTCAAAAAGAAATGAAAAGTGGCACATATGCTGATGAGAAACAAGATATTTTTAGAGCAGTAAAACATTTCTTGCTGCATGGTCTGTACCTAGGAAGGAATTCAATCACTGCCACAGAAAATCTTGTTAATCAAGAATATGTGAATAAGCATTCTATGATTTGCTGAACACCCATCCAAATAGTCACCCACAGACTGAAAGGCTGGCTCAAGGTCTTCATGAATGTAAAGCTTTACTTTGGCAGATATTAAGTGCATATTTGTGCTGCAAAATACTTGTGCCTGGCCCTCGCTCTTGGAGAGAGTATCACCTACTTTCTTTAAAGCTGAATTTCACCCAAGGTTTTTTTTTTGTTGTTGTTGTTTTCAGATCAGGAATAAATTTTCTCCATTGCATATTCACAATGCTAACCCAATACAAACCTGACATACTTCAAGCAAATGTGTATGTTCCTGTGTTACTAAATCTGTATCTTCTAGTCTTCAAGTTGTTCTGTGCCTGCATTAGAATTACTTATTTCATTTACACTTTTTTCTTTCTTTGCTTCTTTTCTAGAAGTCTTCAAACACTTGTCGAGTCTCTTTAGGAATACATCTACATCTTGTTTTTTAATTCCAATTGCTGAGGCAGCATTGAGGTAAGCACAGGGATAGTCATTTGCATGTGACATAAAGCCTTTAAAAGTGTAGTTATTCACTGTTTGTACAGACCCACAGGGAACAACCCTGAAACAAACAAACAAAATTGTGATTTGGTTAAAGATGCCTTGGATATTTTACGTGATACCCTATTATGAACACATTTACACAAGTTCCTGTACAGTGTAATATCTGCTAACTCTAAACAAATTAACGTAAGCAGGCTTAGATCAGGCATTCTCCAGGTTAGTGCCCAAGCATCCCTAGGAGTGACCGTAGTAGCAGATCCTGAATTAGCTCGAGTCTGTGTGCATATGCATACATCCCTTCCCTTCTTCAGTTAAATTACTAAGGTCTTCATTACTGGCATTTATGAGCTTCCCAGTGTGTGTGTGGGGAAAAGACATCTGCAGCAAACTCTCCTATTCCATAACAAGCCCTAACTATCTGACCTGCTCTCTCTCTGACCTGGGCCTGTTCACCCCTCCTTCGGCAACCTGGTGACCCTGAGCTCCCCAGGTCACCATATTGGCAGCAGGCTTAGTACAGACATCTGCTTGGCATAGGGTACTGCAGTCCAAAATGTCGGGGTTCAAGGGATTCGGAGGGCTCAGAATCCCAACTTCCTCCCATCCCTTCCTCTCTACTGCATCTCCCTTTTCCCCCATCCTATGATGTTAAGCTCATATTCATTCCCTCCTTGTAGTGGATATTTTTTGCCACCACTTTTACCTCTTCCTCATACTAAGAACCTCTACCTCTTACACCCTAATTCTCAGCACTTTCAGTACATATCCATTCCCTGATAAATCAAGACCCTAATCCACATCCTTACTTGTTAAAGGAACAACTCGCCTTGTGGCTACAGTTAAAGCCTATGCAAGCAGTTAACACCAATCAACTGATAAGAATTTACTACCTCTATAGAGACATTCCCTGCAGTTCATAAAAGAAACTGCATTCAGACAAATACCACTAGGATTAGCAGGGCCTTCCTCTGTCCGAGTCCTCAGACCACAGGTTATGCAAAAGCCTGTACACCAGTGAAGTAGGGAGTTGCTATTCCTACCACTGACATTCAGCACAAGCATAACATTTAAAATCTGTTGAAATACTGGGTCAAACAGTGTATATACTACAAAAGAATTACTCGCTTACATAAAAAAAGGAAAAACCTGAAACCTTTGTATCAGGCAAAGAACTGGAGAGGTTTAACTTTTCAAAAATAGAACCTCTTGAATCATTTCAGCCAAAGATGGCTGAAATTGCAGGACAAGCCAAGGTTAGGACAGGCAAATCAAAAAGAGCATCTAACTTCAGTACGTATAGATTTACTGTCATTCATCTGTGCAGGAAGTGGAATAATCCAAGCTAATGAAGCATACCTTCTGATGAGGAAACATTCAGCTCTGCTACAAAAAAATGACATTAAGTCTATGGCAGAAGTTAGCATGGCAGCAGTAATACACAGATTAAGGAATCCTGCCAAAACAAATTTTAAATCATTCTCTTCTTCTGAAGGGTTTAAACCAAAATCATTAAAAATTATTTGGCTTGCATTTCCATGTACCAGTGTCTCTAAGAATAAATTCAACTCAGACTGATTCAGGTTGTAGATTTTTATATTTTTAAAATTTTTTATTTTTTTTTTAAACACAATTAGTTCCGGAAAGCAGGATTTTCTTCTATATGACAAAAAGCTATGTAGGGTATTAAAAGCTTATTCCCCTGACATCCAGCACAACCATATTTGTGCTGCAATAAACAAAACAAAGATCTTCCCTAAGTAGCTTACAACTTAACTATAAGATCAGGGAACAGCTGGAAACTAAATGAAACCAAAGGGTACTAAGGAATAATGACACTAAATTAAATGGGCATAGATTATCTATTTAGCCTACCAAAGCTAACAAAGAGGGCCTCATTGCTAACTCAGGCAGGTAGACATTATTAGTAGATAACAGTGATGAAGAAGGGTGTATTACTCTGATTTGTTATTGTCAGACTGTAATCTGTAATCATGAGACAATCGGTACAGAACAAATATTACAGGATTTCATAAAATATATGCTAACCCCCCAAATTTTTCAAATTCATAGCATCCTCACCTTGCTCCAGAAACTTGTCTTGTGAAAAGCATAGATCCAAGCTGGGTAACAGCAGCATCATTATTTTCATCTAGATTCTTCAGTGACATGGCTAAAGTAACAAAAGGTCAGGTTAAAACTACTACAAAGCTTCTTTTTCTCCAAAGAACCACCACAGAGGACAAGCTTTTTCCAACAATAAAAATCTAGCCAAATATTTGTGTTTAGATACAAAGAAAAAAAGAAAGACGAATACTACATTTCACCATTTTTAATTTTCCCACAAGCTGTCCTAGATTACTTCTTTGGTTAGACTGTATGTAAGGCAGACATTCTGCACACGTGGGCAATATTACTTTGGTGTTCAGCAGAATTTTTGGTTAGAACAAATATCTTGAATAGGAATTCCATAATCTCTTTTACAGGACTGTAAGGTGATGGATAAAATAATTATGCCCTTATTTATTTTTAAATCTATTTATTTATAAAATATTACTACATACTAACATCTCCTGCCTGCCTTGATTACAAGATTTTTTTTTTAAAAAGGTAAAAAACAATTACCTAAGGAAATGGGATTATGTGGTGTATCTAACAGTCTCTCATTGTGGATATCTGCCAGTTTCTTCAGCTCACTTGAAAGATAGAAAAACATCTCCTGGAAAAAAAGATGGAATATTTTTGTTATTAGCTATCAAACAGAGAAAATAGTACCTATTTCACAAAACTGTTAAGTCTCCATTATATCCTACAGGTGCGCAGCGGATCTTCTTTTCACATGTACCAAGTAAGTGGACCAGACAATTCTCTGAAATCATTCTATAAAGCAACAGCTCCATTTCCTGAACACTGTTCTTCCCCCTCAAGCTGGTACAAAGCTCTCTATCTCGTCTAATCTATGCACTTTCTCTGTGGCCCTGAAACCTAGGAAGGTTGAAATCTAGGAATCTTGACAAGATTGCCACTGCACAGCAGTCCTGCAAGAGCTTCCCCCCACCCTAGCACCCTGAGCCACAGAGAATGAACTGTGACCATCACAGATGGCCATGTGATGGCAAATTGCTCCTTACTTTGTCTTCTCTCTATTACTACATTCCAGACTAAAAGTAGTGCATTTTGTTGCCATGTCTCACACGATCACAATTACCACTACTACGCAGGCTTCTTTTTCTGTATGAGAATGGCAATACAGTCTCTTAAGGAGAAGGCTGTGAGTACACATCTGAAGGTATTTTGTTTCACACAATATATACTCTCCTGAATACTCAGCTCTATTGTCTAGCCAGTCCCCTTCCCAGGACCACCCCCTCCTGTTCAAGCCTACTATAAAGAATAGAGAGATCTGAATTTCTGCTATCACTTAACTAGACTGCACCTTTATTGTGAAAGTATCATAAAACTGAGATTCATAAATATTTTGGCTCAGATACAAGTCACACTGCACATAAAAGGCTGTTTCTCTTACTTCATCCCTATTTTATTTCCTCCTTCTTCCCCAGTGGTAATCTATGATAATTGCTCATGGTCTCCCTCAGTTTAATATCTTCCTCTTCACATATCAGCTCAAAACACTTATGGACAGAGTGAGAATAAACACCATTCTTGTTATCCTATCCTTTGGCTTCTTTTCCACCCTTTTTAATGCTTAGTCTCTCTCAAAAACTAGCAAAAAGATACAGATACTGGCTAGTCTTTTTAAAAGATACTAAACACCAGATTTTTCCTCTTTCTGGCCATAAAAATTGTGCTGCTCATCTGCTTCAATGTGACTGCCTGTTTAAGCATCCTCATCAATTTCTGGACCTGACAAGTGATTTTTCATTCTTTAAATAGAGTTGCCTCTTCTGTTTGTAGCCCAGTATCCTGCTCTGACCTGTGCACTCTGACAGATACAAATTATAGCTCGTGATCAAAATTATGGTTTTGAGCTGTCTCCCAAAGGTCTTATGAAACCAAATGAGCTTTGTGGCAGCTAACTTAGAAGAATGTTACAGCTGCTTTTCTTAAGCTACTGCAGCGTACCCAGTCTCACTTCATGAGGGACCAAATGAACACAGCTCCTGACCTGTTCTTCCTAATACCATAGAATGAATTCAGCCAGAGAGGAAAAAGTACCGTGTTACTGTCTAAATGAATTAGACTACTGATTCAACTACCAACAAGAGCACAAAGCTTCTGTAATACCTGGAACAACAAAACTTTTGGAAGGCATCTATGGTTAATTCTCAGAACTTGAAATTTGTAAAAAATCATTCTTATTTCTCAGAGGCATTTGTAAATCAAGTGATTTTATGGTTTCAATTCATCAGAGTTTATTTACAGTTCACTCGCAGAAGTTGAAAAACATTTATGTTTCAAAAGCTCAGACACTTTTGCCTTGCTTCTGGTCCCTCACTGAATATAAGCGCATTACTCATTTGCTATTTGCTTTCCACAATAAGCATCACCAATGTGTTAGTCATTTTATTAGTATTTTTTTGGAATCCAAATCATAAATTAATTCGTGCTCCCTCTGCTGGCTATTTACTTCTACAACTGAAGCAAAGTATTACAGAAATATACATAAATTGTATCTACTATGGAGATATTATTGGTGAAATTGGTACTGAGAAAAACCTGTACTGGAACAGGAACAAATTCCCAAGTAATTAATTTTTGCGTGTTGTACTCAGGGAATTCTCTATTGCATCTCTTACAGTATTTATTACTGAAAGGACTGCAAATTGGTATAACCAGCTACCCACTGTATAAATGTATTAAATTAAATTAGGATTAAATGCCTAGGTTACTAGATGAGCCTTTACATACATAGGAATTTGTTAAAACAAAGGAGAATAGAAAGATAACAAAAAAAAAAATCCAATTATGTATTTTCATCAGTTTGACTGAAGCTACCTGAGCACAAATTCAAAACTTATTATTTTTATGAACGACACTATTTTGCATCTTTCCATTGGAAGCCCTCTAGATATTTTATAGTTTCAGAAGTTAAGCAGTTTGTTGCAAAATAGATTAACGGCCTTTCCAAAAAAAAAGGAAAAAAGCAATATTTTTGTGAGGTCAAATCTATAACCAACCTCTATTATAAAATATTTCTGTTCTGTGGAAAATTTATAAGCACCCTAAGCAGTTATATACAAATGAGCTCTTACATAATTGATTTTCTGTGGTAGTCTCTCAAGTTGTCTCCAGTGAAGCTAACTATTATGCTAAAGTTGCATTGAACAACCCCACACTAAATGTCAGTTAAGCTTCATTATTTAATTCACTCT